GGGCTGAATTGCACAAAACGCATGATCGCACCGGCTAGCCTGGTGCGCGTTGCCATTTATTATCTTTTACAATTCACGAGATAATTTCCCTACCAAAACTTTCACGGGGACATACGTTGTACCTAGAGGTGCGTGAAGGCTGAAACCAAATTTGCGGGGGTTGTAGGGGACATCCCCCTCAAACTTAAGACTCCCAACTTTCGTGATTCCGCCGAAACTTTCACGGAGCCGTAAGTGATACATGGACGTGCGAGAAAGCTGAATTTAAATTTGCGGGATTGTATGTGGGCAGGACATACTACCGCAAAATTTGAAGTTCTTGATTTTTATGGTTCCCGAGATAATAGTGTATCCGACAAAATTTTCAGAGGACCGTAGGGTGATACCCGCGAGCGCGGGAATGCTGAATCTGAGTTTGCGAAGAAGTGCGTGAGCAGAGGGTCACTACCCTAAAATCCCAGCTTCCCAGGTTCCCGAGATAATAATCTTCAGAGGGCCGTAGATGATACCCGAAAACGCAGGGACGCTGAATTTGAATTTGCAAAGTCGTAAGTGGGTAGGGAGAGGGCATTATCCAAAAATTTCAGTTTCCTAGATTTCGTAGTTCCCAAAATTTTTACGCGGCCGCAGGTGGTACCTGTGGGCAAGGGAAGGCTGAAATTAAGTTTTCCGGGTTGCAACAGGGGATATGCCCACAAAATTTCAGCCTTCTAGCTTCCGCGTACTTCCTTTGATGATAATTTTACCAGTCAAAAATTTTACGGGACCGCACTTGTTATCCGCAGGTACGGGAAGGCTGAATATAAATTTGCAGAGTCACACGTGGATGGGGAACACTTCCCTAATTCTCAGCTTTTTAGCTTTTGTGGTTCCAAAGTTGTGGACAAGTTGCTGCGGACACATACACATACATATGCACACAAACACACACAGACAGCCCCGTGACAATATATGTTTTGTGTAGCTGTTGCACTGCACAAAACGCATAGTAAAAGGGGTACTGGCAGGAGGGACGATACCAACTATAATGGCGGAGACGAACAAACTGTTTGTTAGCAATAACTGGTCCCGAAAAAATGGGGAACGGAGATGGACTTGAACTGCACTAAACGCAAAAAAAGACAAAATTAACTATATGTTAATCTATGCCCGGCACATTCTCAAGGAAGTTTTCGCAGTATTCTCTTGCAGTACAGGAAGCGATCAAAGGATGCTGCGAGCTAGAGCACATCTCATGCCAGCTCATGAAAGAAGGGTAATGAATGCGGAATTCGACATAACAGGCCCAGAGAAATCGATAATAAGGAGATGAAGTGATAAGTCGAAATTACCAACTGGACTATGACGTCGAATACTTAAGAGGACCACAAATGCCTTGTTGATCAGCTTCTTGAGTGCGCAAAATGACCAAATCCGCCTAATCTTGACAGTCAAATTCAAGGATCTTCGTAGTCACGAAAATACTGTTAGACAAAAGAAGAAGCATAAACGGAATAAAACCCAATTCGTGGAGCATTCCCTTCTCTGCAGGCACAATAGATGGAGGCTGAGGGAGGATTTCGAAAACCACAACTGTCGACGGAAAACACAGACAGCTGAAAGAAAACAAAGCCTGCAAAAAGCCGGGGAGAACTACTGTACCATCCCCTACTGGCAGCGTTGAAGGACGGAAGTGGTTGCTCGAAAATATGTAATATTCTTGTTTTTGAAAAAAAGGAATTGTACACTGTAGGCCAACGTAGCAGACCCGAAGAAATCGATAAGACCAGGAAAACCGATTAGATCATGACGGAAGACACTGGCTAAGAACAGAGATGAGTCGTTGAGAAATTTCACGCCCAAAACCTGAGAATTGCATCTGACCTTACTATCGAATTCGGAAATTCTTGCAACTACGGAAATACTGCTAGATAAAAGAAACATAAGCAAGAATAAAACACAAAAATGCAAATGGCTGAATGAAGACCTCGAGAACTATAACAGCCGGTGAAAGGAAAGAGCGGTTCAAAGGAAGCAGAAGGCAGGACAGGACTGCTGTAACACCACCCCATAATGACGGTGCTCGAAAATGAAAACAGACATCAAATCACAAACCGAACAACCATGAAGAACATTTGCAGAAAATTTTACACAAAATTCTGGCTGACGCAAATTTCATAGCACAACCGAAGGCCTCAAAGTGTCGAGTTAAAACAGTAGTGCTCAGCTCCGCAGTACCACAGCGATGCTGGTAATGACGTATGGTCACCGAAGAAAGCTAAACAGTGAACGAAGACAGTAACAGAACAAAAGATGCTGGGGCGTCTCTTCGTGCCCATGTATGCTAATAAGATTTTGTGCCAAATAAGCGATATGCAAAATATGTCTGTTTTCAAGCAAAAAATTCAATTTTATTCAATGAGCACGATACGTTCCAACCTCCTTCGTTTGCTTTGCTATCTACCAGTGGACATGGCGTGGCAACAGCTGCTATTCACAAGTAAACCACCATTAAGGTAGGGTTAGAAGAGGTGGCAGTGCGCAACTAAGGCCATAAATGCGCTCGAAATGTGGAAACGTCCAAGTAATATCATTGACGTAGGACCCCAACAAAGAACGTCTGGACGCACCTGGAATTGCTCGTAAAATATCATAAATCCCCTAACTCTGGTTTCCTGCAGTATTTGAGATAAGTGATGCTATAAGTGATACTAGCGTTATTTGAAAGCAAGTCTTGTATTTAGCTTATAAAAATCTCTGCCAAAACGAAGTTGCTTTCCATCCAGTTTATGTTTACATGTGGCAGAGGACATAGGCCCTAGTCGAGAAGCACTAAATGTCTGGGTGCATCCCAAGGATATCCACGGATTCTGCTGACAGTCCAAGCCACCATAGTGAACGATTTACCTTCATTTCGGTGCGCCTCGGAGGTGTCACTTTATGATCGTCGATTCTTACTTCACCAGCTGGCATTTTATTCAAGCATTCGAAGACAATCTTAAGGCTTTCACGCATTTCCTCCATTCTTACCAAGTACCTAAAAACTATATTTTTAACGTTCTACACGAGACTTTCGAGAAAATCACCTAGAACGTGGTGCGTACCTGTCATAACAGTCTCCTTTCACGCCAACAGGTACACTGAAATCGACCTGATCATAAGCATCGTACGGTTGCGCCTTGCGCACATCCCACTTGATACCCGAACCACGAAGCATAACGCCGGAGAAGCCCCAAAGCAGGGCATCTTCAGCTTTCACAATACCAATATCAACAGTTCGTGCCTGGGATTTGGCACGATATGGACTAAAGTCAATAAGCCGACTTTACTGAGAACAAATTGTGGACAGTTTTAAGCTCAAAATAAAATCGGCCATTTACATTAAATTGTTACAAAATTCCCAAATCATGTCATTTTGAAAAACTGTAAACGGTTAGCGCGGAATATCTCACAGAACTGCAAAAATTTTTCAGTAACTTATAACACATGATTTAAATCAGCTTCTTGCTAAAAAACCCTCAGGCCTTTACCAGCCACCAGTCGATTGCTTTCATCAATAATTTACTAACATAATTTTGGAACAGATAATATCCTAAAAAAATTTTGGGGAAAGTAGCTACTGGATAAATTAAAATATACCAAGAAAATACGATTTTCAGTTAGCAAATCCTCCATTGCATCTAGCTTCTGTGGGAACTGCACAGCCCAATCATACACATCATCAAGCCATCCAAGGGGTAAATCCCATGCAACACCTCCTGGTCGTACATAATTTGCATGCATCCGAGCTCCGCAGGCGCGTTCTCTATAAAGAATTCACATTTTTGCACAAACACTGGGAAAATTATTGGCAAAGATAGGGGCTGTAAAGAAGCAGAGTCAGTGTAGGACTACTACAGCATTTTCTTTCTTTTTGTCCTTTCATTTCGACAGAACGATTTTTCGAACCCACAGTGATTAAGCCCAATTTTTCTCGATCCACTTTCCACTTTTTAGCGCATTTTGGCGTCTTCAATCCGATACATAAGCCTATATTAGTTTAATTTCTTCTCCGACGTGGACATTTTTTCCGTTGCATCAGGAAAGAAAAAAAGTTGTTCCTCTCCCCTCAATGCACCAGTACTCCAATGGAAATCACGCAGATCCTTTTATGCATTCTTTGCAGCTATGCAATGCGGAAAACGCATACTGACGAGAGGTTGTCTGTGTGTGTCTGTGTGTGCGCTGCGCGTCTGTACGATTTTTCATCTCGAAACCAACAAAAGCTACAGGGCTGAAAATTATGGAACTCAATCTACATGCACGTACGGATCCCCATCCCCAAAATGGGCAGTCTTACCCGCGTGGTACCAACGTAAGAGTCCGCCAAAGTTTTTTACGGGTAAGCTGCTAACTCGCGAACAAAAAAAGCTAGAAAGCTGAAATCTTAAGGGGATGTTCCTTGTCCACATTTGTCTAAATAAGCTCAAACCCAGCCCCCGCGCAAGCATGGTACCCGCTTACGGGCCCGCCAAAATCTTTTTCGAGTAAGCTCACAACTCGGGGGTCTGAGAAGCTAGAAAGCTGAAATCTTAAAAGAATGTTCCCCGCCCAAGTGGTTGTTAATGAACTCAAACCCATCCCCCCGGGTAGGCGTGGTACCCACGTGCGGGTCCATGAAAGTTTTCTTCCAGTAAGTTGCTAACTCAGGAGTCTGGAATGCTAGGAAACCGAAATTTTAAGGGGGTGTTTCCTAACGGTTCTGGCGGCCAATCTTAATTTGTTTAGCTGGGAGCATTTGGCGAAAAAACGGTGTCGGTAGCGATAAAAACTGCGGGGAACCATGCAAAAAACGCATCTTCGCACAGGCAGCCCGTGCGCTGGCCAATTATTTTTATGCGTTTTGTGCTGTGTAACAGCAGTACAAAACGCATATTGTTACGGGGT